TGCCAACCAAGGTGAAGCTGCCCCGCCCGACCGGCTCCCAGGGCTGCTGGCAGGAGGTGGCACCCGACTCTTATTTACCTGCGTTGACCTTAGAGCGGCTCAGAGCTCCATTCAGCAAAGCTGTCTCCTGCCAAAGCCGTGACAATTTCTTAGCTCCAGGCGGAGACAGACCACAGATGGCTTAATTTAGAAGCATCTCAGAAGGAGTTTCTTGCTCCATAGCTCTTCAGCCTTTGACTCCGGGGGTCTGCGGGGTCGTGACCACACAGGGGCTTGAGGCCTGACGTGTAATGAGGCTCATCTGCGGCTGAGCTGCTCTTGCAGGAGGGGGAGTGAGCATGTGGGACGGGGACGACCTCGCAGGCGCTGACTTCCTTTCCCTCACTCACAGCATTTACTGGCAGACAATGGAGCTCCTCCGGAGAGCCTGGGACCTCAAGTCCCGCAGCCCTGGGTTCAGTCCCCGAAACCCTGGGCAAGTGACTTAACCTTCCGGGACCTCCACTTTCCCATCTGTAAAATGGAGACAGTGACGGTGCCGACCTCACTGGGGCATTCCGGGCTTGTGTGAAGTCAACGCGCAGCACCTGGCAAATAGCAAGGCTGTGCTTATTCCCACGCTGCCGTTGATGAGAAGGGGCCGAACACGCCAGTTCTGGGCCTTCGGGACTAATTTTGCAGACTGGCGCCCAGCTATGTGGCCTTGCGAGGACTGGAACTCCCCTCTCCGTTTTTTGGTTTGGGATTTGGGGACGTCGAGGGTGCAGAATAGGCCCGATCTCCCTTCTCTTTCTAAAGGCCCCTCCCACCGGGCGGAAGCTTTTGCTCGCGTTCCCGTTCAGGAGTCTGCAGGCCCAGGCGCCGGAGCATCCCCGCTGGTGTCCACCTCCACGCTCGGCGCCTGGCCGGCCCGGGGGCACGGCCCCCGCCTCTGCTGACGCCACTTCCCCTCAGCCCCCACCTCCCCCATCTCCATCCTTCCCGGGCAGTTCAAGTCCCACCTGGCCCAAGGAGCTGGACCACCTGAGGCCACTTTGTTCCTTCATCATTCATTCACTCATTCACTCGTTTGTTCACCCGGCCGACCTTGATCCAACGCTTCTCAAATGCCGGGCACCATGGGTCCCTCCGGGGACGGGCCAGGAGCAGACTCTGCCTCACAGAGGCTGGGCGCTTGCTTGAGTGCCCCTCTTGGATGAGAAAACTCCATGGGATTCCACTCGGAATGGGAATTCCTCAGTGGCAGAGACCGCAGGCGACAGGCTTTCTGTCTCCCGCAGTGTCGGCCCACAGTGGGTGCCAGCGGTGAATGGCCAGTCACCGGAGAGAGGCTCTCACGCCCAACACGCCCCTTAGAAGACCAAGGGGGAAACGGAACTTGGATTTCTGAAGTGCAAGGGGTGCATGCTCAGCAGTCCCTGGCACACAGTAGGTGCTTGATCAGTGTTTTTTAGATAGATGGGTGAATGCGTGTTTCTGCCTTGGCGAAGTTTCTAAGTAAATGGAGATTGCAAAAAAAGAAAATTTCTAATCAGGCTTCTCTTTTGTCCATGGGTGGTCAAGGGCTTCCATCCTCCCCCCTCCTCCTTGCGAGATGAGATGTGTGAGCCTAGGACCCCTCCGCAGCAGCGCTGCCCACCACCCTGCACGCCCATCTGCCCAGGGCATGCTCGAGGGCTGTATTAGTGTCCTGAGCTGCTGTAACAAACTGTCACAAACTCGGTGGCTTAAAGCAATAGAGGTTTATTCCCTCACAATTCTGGGGGCCAGAAATCCGAAATCAAGGTGTAGGCAGGGCCACGCTTCCTCCGAGGGCTCGTGGGGAGGGTCCCTCTCCCCCCTTCCAGCTTCTGCCGCCTCCCGGTGCTCCTCGGCTGTGGCTGCGTCACTCCGGTCTCTGCCTCGTCTTCACGTGGCTGCCCCTCTGTGTCTTCTGTCCCTTATGAAGTGCTTGTGATCGGATCAGGGCCCCCGTGACTGAATCAGGATGATCTCCTCTCCAGATCCTTAATTACATCTGCAAAGACCCTTTTCCCAAGTAAGGTCGTGTTCACAGTTCTAAGGTGAGGACATGGACATATATTTGGGGGTCACGGCTCAACCTACTATTAACACAATGGCCGAAGAGGGGTGTATGGAGATGGCTGAGATGTGGCTGCAGAGCCACACTTCCCTGTGGAGAGCCTGGAGCTCGGAGGAGGCGCAGAGACGAGCATGGTGGTGGCTGGGGCGTGGGGGCGGGGAAGGTGGGCGGCTGTTGTGCTGAGCATGAAGTTTCAGTTACGCAAAATGAGTGAGTTCTTCACTGTGCCTACAGCTAACAATAGTGCATACACCGTTTCGTGCACTAAACAATTTGCGAGGAGGGTAGATCTCATGTTACGGGTTCTCACCAAAAACAAAAACAAAAAAACCGACAGGGCAGAGGAAACTTTTGAAGGGATGGATATTTTTGTCACCTTGAATGTGGTGATGGGTTCGTGGGTGTTTGAGTATTTCCAAACTCATCAAACTGTATCCATTAAAATGTGTGCAGGCTTTGTTTCTCCATTATCTCTCAATAAGGCTGCTAAAAATATTTTTTTAAAAAGGAAGATTATAATAGCAGTGATATTGTAACAATATAGAAAGTTATTTTCACATAATGTTAAACATTTTGCAAGACTAAATTATTGTTATTACTAGTGTGAAAAACATGCATATGACTAAAATGCCTGTGTTCTAAAACACAAACAAACAAACAAACAAAAAGACACTACTGGTGACCGGCCACCAGAAATAGCACTATTGCCGATCTGAATGTCACTCAAGACCACGGAGACCTGAGGCCCAGGCTGGCTGGCGCTGGGACCCTGGTGCCCTGGGCTCCCTCAGCATCTCCAGCTGCCCTGGGGGGTGTGAAAGTCACTTGCCAGAGGGCGCAGAAAGGTGTCCCCTGGAAGCCCTTTGTTTACGGGCTCTTTGCTACCTGCTCATTGCACAGGGTCAATCTTCTCTACAACTTCAGTGAGGCCACCTGGGGACTTTCCTGAAACGTGGGATTGAGCCAAGAATAAGATCACGGTGTGACTGAGCACAGCGAGAAGAGCCCCTGCATTTAGCCCTGGGTCCGGTGGGCGTCAGGTGCCTGTTAAGGGCCCGCCCCGGTGGGCTCAGTGGCTTTAGGGTTGGGCTCTGGGGCCTCCCTGGGTGACCAGAGCCCCAAGGTAATTCTGGTGACCCAAAAAGTCCCACCCCTGAGGCTGGGGCTGAGGCTGGGTAATGTTGGCACAGAGGGTCCACAGGGGGACTCTCGAAGGGCCCGTGAACCTCCTGAAATGACCTGCACCGACCGTTCTATAAGAACGTGGGGGTGTTTTCCTCCCAGAGGAAGAGAGTCCAGGACTGTCCCCAGAGTCCCAGAGTCTACGTCCCCTGGGAGTAAAGAAGGTGGCCGTGCTGGAATACTGAATCTGCTCATCGCCTGTGGTTGTTACGGGTTTCTGACAAGCTTCCACAGCCCCTGCCTCCTCTTCACCTCAGGGAGTGAGGTGCGGGGAGCACCCTGCACACAGCTGAGCGGCAGCCGTGGTGGAATGTTCCAGAAAGAGTCCAGAACTTAGAGCTCAGAGGGTGGCCGTCCTAAAGCAGAGTGTCTCTGCCACCCATCCCCCCTGGGGCCAACCCTGAACCGAACTCTGCTCTGGGCCTCAGCTTCCTCATCTGTAAAAGGACAAACACAACCCAGGCAGGTCCACTGGGCCCCAAGCAGAGACTTTCCCCCACGAGTTCCTCCTTGTCTTTCCTCGACTAATATCTCCTCCCTTCCCCAGCTTGCTTTTCTCACCTTTCGTCACCCTAAGGCTGCCTACCGCACCGTGGGCTCAGCTGACCACTCCCAGGTGGCCCACCCTGGTCTGGATCTCTCGGGATGGGTCCTGCTCTATCCTGAAGCCACTGAGAGCCTCCGGCTGCTCTGCAAATCCAAACGGAACCTGCCCTGGCCTCCGCCTCGCCCGCCCAGTCCCCTCCTGAACCCTCACAGAGCCCCAGGGCCAGTGTACACGCTGCCCCCTGCCGGGGAAACCCCTGCTCACCCTTCGAGACTCCCTGCACCCACCTCTGCCCTATGTCCTCACCGCACACTCCTGGCCCCCTGGCAATTGTTGGGAAACGGGACGAAAGGCTCCCGATGGCAGAGCCGAGTCTCTGCAGTTCACTGCTGTCTCCCCCGTGCCTGACACAGAGTTGGGCTCAGTAAACGTGCGGACGGAAGGATGGATGGATGGACGGATGGATGCAGCGACGGGCGAGTGAGCCAAATCTCTCTACCCTGTGCCTCCCTTAGGCTCCCTAAAGGGGATATGCCCAGTTAGGAGGATGTGGCCCTCAGGTACTGAGTTGGAGGTGATGTAGCGGACACAGTGGTCACCAGGAGACAGGAGGAGGCTTTGCCCACCTCCATTTCCTGAGAAGGAGGGGCAGGCTGAGACACTGACCACGTCGAATCTTAACTGAAGAGGCTTCCACTCCTTGGAGCTGTCTCCTCGAACATTTTTGTTTCTGTTTTGCTTTCTGGAAGGGCGAGGTGATGTGTTCTTGAGCTCTGGTTCTGGTACTGTGGAGGGCTGGCACCTTGACCCCTACAGGGCTGCCACTGGGCCGGAGGGCAGTGACAGACAGGGCCAGTAGTTCCCCCAGGAGAAGGCGCCTTGTTAGGGTGTTTGAGTGGTGTGTGAAAGATGGCGCTGGCCACCAGGTCCCACGGCGCGGTGATCTGGTCACTGCTGGGTGACAGCTGCTCAGCACACATCTTCCTTCCGTAGCCACGAGCGGGGCAGAAGGAAGGACAGGCCCAGGCCGCCCACCCCGCTCAGCACCAGGAAGCTCACGCATTCACTGTCACTTCCTGCCCTCTTAACGCCATTTTTATTAAGCCTCTGAGTGTGAAATGGGGGCGGGTAAGGGGCGAGCGCCACGGAAGACCTGGCTCACCCTCCTGCTCTGCGCTCTGTCCACAGGTGGGCCGGCATCTCGATACGTTCCCCACCGAGGCAGATCGCCAGAGGGCGTTCAAAGCCCACCGGGAAGAGCACGCCGTGCGCCAGGGCACCCTGCGGATGGGCAACTACACCCACCCCTAGCCCCTCACCCCCCACGGGAAGCCTTCTTGACGCAGTAGAAGATTCCCTGAAGGACTCTCCTTTCTTGCCCCAGCTCCTGCACCACTCCTTGTTCACGCAGGAGCTGCTGCTGCGAGGAGCTCAGATTCAGGTCTTAGGTTAATTATTTTTGGTTAAGAGCCTCCCTTTTTAGGTTAGCCAACACTAGTCTTGCCGTGGCCCCAGTGACCCTCCCTGGGGATTCCTCCCCCTCCTCCTCCTCCGGCAGCCTCACCTGCCTCTCTTCTCAAGCCCACAGCTGACAAGATAAACCCGAATTACATGGCAGTTTGTTAGACTCCAGGCTCAGGGTCGATTCCACGGCTCTGCCCATTAAGTGTTAAGAACAACCCGTGTATTTCCTGCAGAAAGTGTGACAGTGACATGCTTTGAAAGCCCTCGTTTTATATTCCAAACATGAGTTTTAATTGCTCTTTTTGGGATGCCTGATGTCTCACCATGGCAGTATTGTCTCTCTGGGACCCCTGACAGCAGGAAGAGCCAATGGTTCATTACTCAGGCCTGTCCCCCTTCCTCAGCGCAGTGGCCCTGTCAATCTCCACAGAGGTAGACTCAGGATGGTCAGCCTGTCCCCAGGGAGAGAGCCTTCGGGCGACGGGCAGACTAAGCTACACACATGCAGAACTTCCCGGCCAGACTCCTGTGAGCTTCCTCACTCCGTCTTCCTATGCGTTGTTCTTTGGCTTCCCACAAATTGTATGCTGGTCTATTTTAAATTTAAAATGCTATTTGTCTCCCTCCTTTTGTGTCTTTATTTGAAAACCAGTAAACCCATAACTGGTGAATGAACCAACCTAAGATTCATCGGACGACAGTGCTACCTCGCGGAAACTTTTCAAGGTAGCCGGGAACCTCCAAGGCATCCTAACAATGCCCTTTCTGAGGGAGGCAAAACCTCAGCTTTTAAATTCCAGTTCTCGTCTGAGGATTGCCAAATGTTGATCTTCAGCCTGGCACTCTCCCCCGAACTCCGGGTTCCTTCATCCAACAACTGCTCTCGCGGATTCTCCGCTCGGGCCCTGGTGTTCATCTCTAACCAACATGGCCAAGACAAACTGACTTTTCCACCCAGCGAGCTTCTCCCTCCATCTTTCCCATTTCGTAAATGAGACCACCGTCCACCCAGCCGCTGGGGCCAAAAACCCTCACTACTCCATTTCCTCCATCTCTCGCATCTAGTCCAGCAACAAGCCTGCCAGCGTTACTTCGGAAAACACGCCCGGATCCATCCACTCCCGCGGCCCAAGCCCGCGCCCTTGCCATCTCTCCGGAGAGCTGCCCCCCACTCATAGTCCTTTTGCCGCGGAGCAGCCCCTGCGCGCTCCAGCGCAGCTTCCTCTCTGAAAGTCAAACCCGCAGTCCTGCAGGTGACGCCTCACACTCCTGCCTTAGGCTTCAGGCTTCTTTGTCCCTTTGCCTGGAGCACTTGGGCCCCAGATTGTCACCTGCCTCCTCCTCCTTGTTATTTAGGTTTTAGCTCAGAAGTCAAGCCCCTACTCAAAAGGCCTTCCTGGAAATCGCCCCAGTTCCATCTGCACTGATCCCATCGGGAGTTTATTTGTTGCGGGCCCAGGATCAGGGGTCTAAGGTCCCGGGGCCCATATCCCAAGGGTCGCACATCCCAAGGGTGCTCAGCGATGTCTGTGCCGCAGATCGCACCCCTGCAGGCCGGGCAGGGAGCGTCCCTCAGCCTCGGTGACTGTCCAGGGGCCCGAACCGTTGTGGTGCCACAGACCTGAGTGAGCTTAATCAGCTGTCTCCCCTCCCCCCACTGCACTGCAGCTCATGAGAAGCCAATCCATAAAAATGTCACATTAGCCCCTTTGACAGACCTGTCCCACCCCGAGGGCCCGAAATCCCCCTCCCACCGCACAAACCAGAGGGAAACAAGCATCCTCACTCACCTAGACTGAAGTCACCTTGAAGCCTCCTGACCCGCTCAGAGTGGCCGGCCTGGTGAGGGAGGGCAGGGTCCGAGGGCCTGGCTCTGAGCTGAGGAGCCGCGTGCAATACCGTCGGCCAGAACGAAGCCTGGCTCTGCCGCGTGGCCTCTGTGTGATCTGGGCAAGTGTCCTAGCCACCCCGTGCCTCGCCTGAGAGACAGGACCCCCCACCACCACCCCCCCCGCCAGGCTTCCTGGATCCAGGGGAGATAATGGCCACCGGAAAGGACGTGCGAGGGGCTGGCGCGGGGAAGCACAGGGAAGCAACAGAGAAACATGAATTACCGTTTTCTCATTTTGCAAAAGCACACGGAAGAGGGGCAACCCCCAGAGCCCTGGGAGTGACTGAGGGACAAGCGCAGGTGCACAAAGGGTCACAGGCTTTGCGTCCAGATACGTCAAGAAAGTAAAGATGTTTTGAGTTGAGCCCACTGTTTTGCTCAGAAACCCCCCGTGGGAAGGGGAGGGGGGCACATCTGGAGGCAGAAGAGTTTTCCGAAGGACCCAAAGTTGGGCCCTAATCACCAAGGGGTGGGGCAAGTCCCCTGTGGCAACGAGAGAGGTGGTGCCGGAAGTGGCCCTCCCAGGCCTGCTTGCCCGAGGCCCCGGCCGAGGTGGAGAGTGTGGGCTCAGCCAGAAGCAGCTACGGGAAGTCTCTCGTTTGTCCAGTCACTCCTCACGCCACGCACTGTGGGACTCGCTAGGGCTGTGACAGATGCCCTGGGAGCACTACCCTGGATGCTCTCTGGAGGCCTCCGGGTGCTCCCAGTCCAGGCTGGCCGCGGCTCTCATCGGAGAGAACCTCGGCTCCTTGTCCTACAGCGCCACCCGCTGGTGAGTCTGAGTCAGAGGCCACGGAGGTTCGCCCTTCCCTCCCTGCGTCCTTCCCTCCGCTGGCTTCATTCTTCCCTCGTTAATTATTTGTGCCCGCGCAAAGCCGCAGTCTACTTCTGGTCTGATTCCACTTCCTGGGTATCCTGTCACAGTTGGGTTGACCCTGCCTGGGGGCCCTACAACTGCCTGCTCTTCATGACCTGGATAGAGTCCCCAAAGGGCCCAGCCCGAGGGACCTCGGGTGTCATCTTGGTATCTCCCTCCATTGCCATCCCCCAACTTCACAGGTGGACAAGAGACGGCGAGGGAAGCCCGAGTCCATGCGATAAGCGAGGCCAACACGCTATCCCAGGCCACTGCGTGTTCCAGAGGCTGCCCCCAAACTGCTGCTTAATTAAAGACGGACAGAAATGGGTGAGCTTAGCTTTCCATCCCAAGTCCTCCTAGTCACACACCAGCAAATGCCACGTGAGGTGGGTGTCATCGGAGGCATGACCTTGTGCCCCTGTTGTGGCTAATTTCATTTAGGGACAGTCTATCTCCTGGTTGGGCTTCTTAGCAACTCCCCACCAGAGATTTAACCAAACAGTGAGGCCCAAGTGTGCTGTCTCCATGAGCCACAGGGAGGAGGCTGCCCTGGTTCTCACCTGGTCTACTTGAAATTCTTTGAAGTCCCCTCCAGGTGAGGGGACCCAGTGCTGTGCTGACGTGCCCTTGGCAGGGGGGGCAAGTGCCCAGCTGGGGTGCAAGAGCAGCACCGAGAGGGGTCTTTGGGACAGGGACTTATGAAGACAGAAGGGGCTTGAAACCACCTAGAGCTGCCAGAGAAGGCAGAGGGCTGCAGAGCTGCTTAGCAGCAAGACCAGGATGGGGCCAGACCTCCTGGATGGAAGCTCTCCCTGCACACCGACCCACTGCGTCCAGATTTTTAAACTAGAGCCCAAACCTCATTCACTCTCTCCCTATTTCCCTCTCTTTCCCCCCACCCATCACTATCACTATCTCTGTCTCTCAGATATAACCAGAAAATGAATAGTTTTCTCGGCCAGAAGAAAGGAGTCTGGCTGTTGCGCAGGGTGTTTAGCGGGGCGAGTAGGCGCCAGCCGACAGCCATGTCCGCTGCTGCCTGGCGGGGGCTCCTAGAAGCCTGAGGAGGCAGCACCGCTCGCTGGCTACAGATCCAATTTCAGTTCCTGGGGAGGTCCCTGGATCCAGAGAGCGATGGTTTGGCTCTTTTATTCACCCACCCCAGCGCCCCAATTAGTGCCGGTTTGGAACAACAGATGTCAGGGTCCAGAGAAGGCTCATCTCACGCAGTAGGCACCCAGCTCGGTGCCGTGGGAGCCAGACAGGTCTGTGTCTCCAGGGAAGCACCTTCTCTTGCCTTTATCCTCATGGACCCAAACATCCTTTTTACTGCATTTCTTTTTACTTGCGAAATGCTTTGACGCTTGAAATCATTATTAAGTGTGGGGGGAAAAAACTAGGTTGGTTTTTTACACAGGTTCGTAGAACTGAATGCAGGAAACTTATAAACTTGAATCCACAAAGGGGAAATTATCTATGAAGGGGATTTAGATCGAGGGGCATCACTGCATTCTGTGAGCTCCACGAGGGCGGGGCCGCTCTGCCATGCTCTCCACGACTCGCCAGCATCTAGCACAATGCACAGGACAGGGCATGTACTGCTTGGAAGGAAGAAGGGAAGGAAGGAAGGAAGGAGGAAAAGAAAAAACACATTCTCTTCCTGGTTTCAGGAGCTTCGTGGGGTTTTTAGTTAAACAAACACAAACGGTTGAGAACAGTGTGACCTTGAAGCCCATAAATTGTCCAAATCCTTGTCCAAACCATCCGTTTGCAGAACAGAGAAATACCAGCGCCCAGCCCTGGCCTATATCATCCCAATCCTCTGCCCACTCCACCTTAAAAACTGGTTTTGGTGGAAGGCCCTGGGCACCCCTGGGCGCTGACTTTTCTAGAGAGGTCTGGGGAGACAAGTCTGAGGGCTCTAACTTGCCGGAGGAGAAAAGCTCCAGCTATTAGTGGTAGTTGCTGTGCTGGGAACTGCGTAACTGCTGCTCTTCAGGCCCCCAGCCGGTGTGGAGAGGCCTCACTCTGACCACGCAACGTGGGCAACATCATCTTCATGTTACAGCTGGGGAAAAAACCTCAGAAAGCAGCGAT